AGACCATGAAGAACGTTACCTATGAGGCGTCCCGTCTGCTCAACCAGCCGGATGAGGCCATGTCCTACGAGGAGTTCTTCATGGCTGTCAACCCTCTTCAAATGGGCTCGGACTCCCAGGCCAAGAGTAAGGATATCAAGTTGGATAACATCGATATCTCGATTAGTGGCCTGCGCATTCTTACAGATGCTGCCTTCACACTCGCTTATGGTCGTCGTTACGGTCTTGTTGGTCAGAACGGTATCGGTAAATCTACCCTTTTGCGTGCTTTGAGTCGCAGAGAAATCCCGATTCCGACTCACGTTTCTATTCTTCACGTTGAGCAAGAGGTAGGTTCAAATCCCATATTCGTTGCTTTTTTCTCTTGCTTACTTTCTACGCTAGATTACTGGTGACGATACTCCAGCTTTGCAAGCAGTGTTGGATGCTGATGTGTGGCGGAAACATCTTCTTGCGGAGCAAGCGGTAAGTCAAATCGCAAGATACCGCAGCGGAATATGCACTAATGACCATAGAAAATCTCGAAACAACTGGCAGCCATCGAAGAAGAAAGATCTTCACTGGCGGATACTTCTAAGGATGCTGCTAGACTAGACGAAGAGCGAGAGGGCCTGGACATCACATTGTCTGATATTTATGGAAAGCTTTCAGAAATGGAGTCTGATAAGGCTGAATCTCGTGCGGCCAGTATTTTGGCTGGTCTTGGTTTCTCCCAGGAACGTCAACAGTATGCCACCAAGACCTTCTCCGGAGGTTGGAGAATGCGTTTGTCTCTCGCACGAGCTCTATTCTGCGAGCCCGATCTGCTTTTGCTTGACGGTATGTACCACTGGTCTCTTTATTCCACAAGCAGCCTACTGACATTTCACAGAACCGTCTAACATGTTGGACGTTCCGTCAATTACTTTCCTTTCCAATTACCTCCAGGGATACCCCAGCACAGTCCTTGTTGTTTCTCACGATCGTGCATTCTTGAACGAAGTTGCCACGGATATTATCCACCAGCACTCCGAGAGGTTGGACTACTACAGAGGTGCTAACTTCGGTAAGTTACACGGGATCCTAAGACTATGAATAGTTCTAACAAACTGTAGAATCCTTCTATGCCACTAAGGAGGAGCGCCGCAAGACTGCTAAGCGCGAATATGAGAAGCAAATGGGCGAGAGAGCACACTTGCAAGGTTTGTCACCCCCTCCATCTCGTCATAGAGACGGTGTTAACGATCGTCATCAGCATTCATTGATAAGTTCCGATACAACGCCGCCAAGTCATCTGAGGCACAATCGAGAATCAAGAAGCTTGAGCGCATGCCAGTTCTTGAAGCTCCAGAGGCCGAGTACACCGTGCACTTTGCATTCCCTGGAGTCGAGAAGCTTTCACCACCTATCGTCCAGATGTCCGAAGTTTGCTTCGGCTATACCAAGGACAAGCCTCTTCTCAGGAACGTTGACCTGGATGTTCAACTTGATTCGCGTATTGGAATTGTCGGACCTAACGGTGCTGGTAAGACCACGGTTCTGAAACTACTCACCAATCAGCTTGAGCCAACAAGCGGTCTCATCTCCACAAACTCGAGACTGCGTATTGGATTCTTTGCCCAACATCACGTCGATGCTTTGGACATGACTACCAGCGCAGTCGGCTTTATGACCAAGACATACCCCGGTAAAACCGACGAGGAGTACCGACGACACCTTGGAGCGTAAGTTTATCCCAACCACTTACATCTACTACATTGACTAACCCTCATCCTATAGCTTCGGTATCACTGGTACAACCGGTCTCCAACGCATGGAACTGCTGTCTGGAGGTCAGAAATCTCGTGTTGCATTTGCCTGCTTGTCCTTGACCAATCCTCACATTCTTGTTCTTGACGAACCTTCCAATCACTTGGATATCGAGGGTATGGATGCCCTGTCGGATGCACTCCGCGTGTTCGAGGGAGGTGTGGTGATGGTCTCCCACGATGTGACCATGTTGCAGAATGTCTGCACCAGTCTCTGGGTTTGCGATGGCGGTACTGTTCACAAGTTCGATGGTACCGTCAACGCCTACAAGAAGAAGATCACCGCGCAGGCTGATGCTGCTGGTGTTGTGGCTAAACACTAGGGTAGGAGGGCTATATATGTACCGATTAATGCCGTAAAAACTATGAATATCCTGCATGAATCTACATTATGACCAATATTGTTCCTTCTTGAGTATGCTGCGGCCCAGTCTTTGCTTTGCCTGATAGATTAGGGCTTCATTTCACCTCAATGCATATCTAAAACGCGATTACCAGCAAGGTCATAATTCTCCAGTCCTATTTCTTCCTCCCCTCTCTTTGCTCTTCATTACCCCGCCTTGCTCTTCATCATCTCTCTTTGCTCTTCGTTATTGTTTACCTCGCATTGAACCACATCGGCATGCGGAATCTGAGTTCCGCTCCGGGCTTTGAGCGGGTCCCAAGGTCTCCTTATCGGCTTATCGCAATTAACCCCGGACGTCAGCTAGGCACTTTACCATCTCACATACCCCAAAGGACAATTTCAGATGATACCTCAAGGCTAGAGGTGGAAGAGCCCGAAGACATGACGGGCGCAGATGAACAAGACCAATCGGGTCCCCACGCCCCTTTGCTCGCCTCATCTCACGCCTCTTCCGACCATGATGGCAATGACCACGACGCGAGCCTGGCCTCTGAGCTGGAATACTCAGGAGGCTGGTTTATATGGGCGTTGACCTTCTCCGCTGGGATAAGCGGTTTACTATTTGGATATGAGTATGTTAGCTTCTACCAACCACGCCATGTTGCTTCATTGATCCTCCCGTTCACTAATAATCCTCGGAACTTCCAGCACAGGTGTTATCTCGTCTACTTTAGTGACCATCGGATCAGACCTTTCCGGACGGCCATTGACAACACTCGATAAAAGCCTCATCACATCCTGCACCAGCCTGTTTGCGTTGATCGCGAGCCCGTTCACCGGAGTGTTGGCGGACAAGTTCGGTCGTCGGAAAGTCATACTTGGTGCAGATATGCTGTTTGCAGTTGGAGCGTTGGCGCAAGCCTTTACAAGCCAGGTTTGGGGTATGATTCTTGGCCGCAGCATTGTTGGTCTTGCCGTTGGTAGCGCTAGCGCGGTGACTCCATTGTAGGTTGGCCGTGACGTGTTGCCGTGTCAGGCGGGGACTGAGAACTCTTCGCCATGGCAGAAACTTGACTGTGAGAGAAATGATGATTGCTAACATGCTGGGAAATCCTTTCAGGTATATCTCCGAATTGGCTCCTTCGCACGCAAGAGGACGACTTGTCACGATCCTCAGTCTCTTCATTACCGGTGGCCAAGTGGTGGCCTACATAGTCGGGTGGTTGTTTTCCAGTACAACTGGAGGCTGGCGGTGGATAGTGGGAATCGGGGCATTCCCGGCCTTCTTCCAGCTTGCCATTCTCGCCTTGCTACCTGAGACGCCTCGATGGCTGGTCCAGGCTGGATTTGATACCCAGGCAAAGACAGTCCTGACCAAGATCTATCAGGATTGCCCTGGCTGTGACCAGGTCGTTGATCGTGTCTTACGCAATATTAACGGAGAAATCGTCCAGGAGGCCTCGGAGCTGGGACAAACCAAGTCCCGTGGCACAAAGCCCCTGTGGTTACATGATACCCTCCAGCGGGGTCAGCAGTTGTTGCATGGTGGAAACAGAAGAGCATTGATTATAGCGATGATGCTCCAGGCAGTCCAGCAGCTTTGCGGATTCAACAGCCTGATGTATTTTTCAGCAACAATTTTCTCCTCGCTTTCGTTTTCCTCGCCGACACTGACATCACTCTCGGTAGCTATGACGAACTTCATATTCACGCTGTTTGCATTCGTGCTGATTGATAAGATCGGTCGCCGGCGTATTCTTCTTTACTCAATTCCTATCATGGTCGTTGCTCTGGTCGTCTGTGCTTTCTCATTTTCATCCATGGACGACAAATGGAATTCAGAACCTCCAACTGGCCGTCAAGAAAACGACGATAGCGCTAGTTCCCTTCTACCTCTTGCCATTTTGCTCTGTCTCACTGTCTATACCGCAGCATATGCCCTCGGACTTGGAAATGTTCCCTGGCAGCAGTCTGAACTCTTCCCTCTGAACGTACGTTCCCTGGGATCAGGACTGGCCACTGCAACCAACTGGGGATCGAACTTTATCATCGGTCTCACTTTCTTGCCTATGATGGAATGGATCTCACCCTCATGGACGTTTGCTCTCTATGCACTCGTCTGCGTCCTTGGGTGGGTTGCAGTATGGGCAATATACCCTGAGATGAGTGGACTTGGGCTCGAGGAAGTCAAGGGTCTATTGGCAGATGGTTGGGGCGTGAGAGAAAGTCTACAGCGGCGTCGTCTCTCGCAGCGTCTTTAACATGTGGGCAAATATATCAATCTCAGGGCACGTATTCCATTTGGTCTCGTGAAAAGGTGCAATTCAAACAGAGCAGTTCTTTGTTACCTCTTGTTACACTTTGTTCTATTGCCACATATGAGGTGGGTGTTATTCGTCACCCCAAGCAGTTTGTCCAATTTGATCAACTATACTAGAACATCAGCCCTAACTAGGTATGAAGCGAATCGATAATGGCATTGCACTTTGGACATTCAATCATCTCGAAGACATGTGAATGAACCTGCATTTTATACATCCTTATTCCGCGCGTTGGCTGTTTTCATATTATATATTCTGTTCTCGCATCTTCCCTCATCTTCTCTCTTGAATACGCCGCCGCATATCTTCTCTCTCATATAATCTATCCAGCATTTTCTATCCAGCATTTTCTATCTCATATATCCCGTTTCGCATTTACATTTACATTTTTCGGTTTGCATTTGAATTCTTCGTTTTGCATTTGCATTTTTCCGTTTTTCATTTCGTATCTCACATCAAACTATACAAATACAGTGGGTTTTACACTTTATATTGCTCTTTCGAATTTGCAACTTGCATACTGAAAACTATAACACTAATATAGACATGTCGCACATCAACACTGAGCAGTTCGCTTCAACGGCCATGCAAAATGCTCGAAGCCGACTGCTTGAGCTTCCAAACGAGGCAAGTATATGATTGTCTTTTACAACTTAGATTGCAGCCATTGATATTTGAGATGAACAGATTCTCCATAATATTACATCCTACCTCACCAGAGATTGTGATGTCTTCCATCTCTCCCTATCCTGCAAAGATATGTGGGACAAGGTCTTTGGATCGGAGTCCACCATCTGGAGAGATCGCTTTGGTAAACACTACGACATTGTCCCAGGGAAAACTTCTAGGGAATTGAAGATTGAATACGAGATCCGCGCGCTTGTGCTGAGGGCTTCGATCCAATTCAAAGAGAAGGAAGATGAACGGCAATACCTCTGGATGGAGGTCATGCAAACTATGATTGAGGAGGTTCTGACGCTACCCATCTCTCCTGGAGACACCTCAAAGACCTTGCAACGTATACATGAGACCCTCGACAGGGTAAATTTTCTATGCGAATTTCAGAACCACCAAACTCCTTCGCCACTCTTTTGTGGTGTCCAGCTGGTACGCGCGTTTTTGTCGAATAAAGGACTAGATATTCACTGATATTTGCCATACACAGTGTCTAAGCTCATTTGCTCTCGACCCAAAACTCACCTTACCGTGTCGTCGAAACGACTACAACCTGAAAGAGGTCTACTCATGTGGAGACGAGGTGGGCGTGCCATTCATCGACCACGAGAACCTTGCCATCGGCAGACTGCTGGACATTCGCCATTTCTGGCAGCGTCACGTCATGAACTCTTTCGAGTTGTCTTTCAGAGATTCCTTCTCCGAACTTCCTGAAGATGTGAAGCCCAAAATGCGTAAGGAGATTCCAACCGAGGCAACCAAATTAAGCTCATCGTGGCTAGGATACTACTGTGAGTATACCAACAGAATCAAAATCGCGCGTTACTTTGGGCTGACATAAATTTCGGATTAGCGTGCATTCATCCTGTGTCAGACCTGCTGAAGACTGACCGCCAGACATGCGCTGATATCGAGATACACGGTGAGCTGATCGACCCAATGGTGAGTAAAAAGCGTGTTGCTAGGAAGGCTATGACCACCGGGCTAACGCTAATAAATGTCAAGACCCTTGACCTTAAACCTTCCGAACATTTCTGGCCCGAGAAATGCAGCAAGATTATCCCCCTCGCTGGCGGTCCCGACACCAAGCGAACTTATTTTGAGGGTAAACAGAGCTCCTATAATGGCCCCGATGAGGTAGGAAATCATGTTTTTGGGTTTACCGAAGAGATTGCTGCCTCACATGGTGGCTTTGGAGGATGGATGCGGATCTGTTTTATGCTTGTCGACGGAGAGGTGGATGATGAGGATGAGGATAATGAGGAAAAGACCCCCTCTCTTCTGATGGAGAGCGAGGGGTGGATTCATGGCTATGAGGCTGCTATCATTCCTGGTGGGCGTATGATGCTGGGGCGTTGGTTGGATATGAAGGCAACAGATGCCAGGGGCCCATTCATCTTCTGGGACGTGTGAGGGCCACATTCGGCTCTTCTACATCCTTCTCGTTTGCTTTTCTTTGATCTTTTTTTTTTCTTCATTTTTTTTATGGGAGCTGAGCAGTGAATAATATAGGGGATGGAAGAGACCAAGCTCGCCCAAAGTGCTGGAAATTGACAAAGGATTCTCGCAGTGGAATGAATCAGTATTTATGGTAACAAGCAACGTAGCTTTTGGATAGAAGAAAATTATGCGTTGAGGAAGGGAATAGATGACAGATAGAAATTAAAACAGCCACTACTCCTCGATATCCTTGACCTTCTCCCACTCCCCCTTGAGGTTCTCCTTCCACAAACTGACCTTGTTATCACCACCACTGACAGCAAGGATATTGCCGCTGAGACTCCAGCTAACGCGCCACAGAACAGTGTCGAACTCCAATGTTTGGCTGGACCATTGGCCCGGGTTGGAAGCATCAGAGGTCCAAATGCGAACGGTCTTGTCTTGCGCAGCGGAGGCGATGTAGGACTTGGAGAGAATGCTTGGGGACCATGCCACATCACGGACCCAGTCTGAGTGTCCCTCAAGGGTTTGGGTGAGGTTGTACGATTTAGACTCCGCGCTAAAGAGAATCGAGTCAGTTCACGTCATAGTTGTATGTTTGGCAAGGTCCATCAATCAACATACTTATACTCCCAGATCTTGACCAGGTTGTCGCTGCCACCGGTAACAAACCGGCGTTGTTGGCCAGGTCCGGGGTTAGAGCTGATGAGGCTACCAGCAAAGGCCGCAGGAGCCCAGCTGATGGAGTTGACGCCCATTCCGTGGGCATGGAAGCTCTGGTGGGTCCAGTTGTTGTCACGGAACTCAAGCGCGCTGACATGGCCGTCGGAAGAAGCACAGGCAAGAACACACCCACTCTCATGAGGAGCCCAGGAGACCATGTTCACGGAGGCCGTGTGAAGGGAGAAATCGAAGACCTTGGTCCATGTGCTACCACTGGAGGGCGAGGTCGCATTCTGGGGCTGCTCCCGCCAGATCAGAACTTTGCCATCGTAGGAAGATGAGGCTAGAATTGTGCCGAATTTCGGGTGGGCCTATGTTGCGATAATCGCATGGTTAGTTGGATTACGCGCTGCAATGGTTGATATTTTAGAGCATCACTCACCCATGCGACACACCACACAGCGCCCTCGTGGCTATCAAATACCCATGTCAGTGGCCAGGTACTGGGATGCAAACATCAAAAGACCAGCTTACCCCTTCAGCGTCTCGACTAGTCGGTGTGATTCTCCCTCAATCTCAAAGATCTTTATCGTTTTGTCGGACGAACATGTGGCCAACCGGCGGCCGTAATAGTCCAAGCCAGCATCATGCTATATTACAAATAAAGCAGTTAGCTTGAGTACATCGTGTGGCCATATCGATCGCCAATTGCAGTTCATATAGTAGCACATACAATCATCTCTTCGTGTCCGGAATTCGAGATCACCTGAGGGGTCGCCTGGAGGTTTGAAGCTGTTAGTGATGGGATTGTGAAACAAGCTCAAAGCTATATAGTTGAATAGAAATTACCATGTTGGATTAAATAGAGCAAACAATAAACTTGACAGCTGTGGAAGCGCGGGGAGTCGGAGCAGCTCTCTCCCTTTCAGCCAAACAACCTGGCCCTTCCCGTATCTTATCGTGTGCCTAGCTCGGTCACGTTACCTGGATCTATGCACGTGATGAGCCTCGGCCGTCGGTAACCCCACGATGAACGTGGCGTGGGAGTTTCTTCTGAAGTTCAACACCTTTCATTGTTATTATTGCTCTGTAATTTGTGCTGGGCAACTGATTACAGAGAGTGCTGAAAACAGCAATTATACTATTACACTTCTCGCTCCGTTTTGATTGATCTAAGCAGGTCATTATGGGTGATGCGCTGTGCGGGCCGTCAAATGCCCTTCAGAACTTTCAGAAGCATACATCTGTTGATCGGACCCTTCAGCAAGACCGGTTGACTTCGCGTCAATCGCCTGTTCAGGTTGGTAGTGCCTTTGCGATCACATTTTTTCATTCATACTAAAAACCTACTACAGGGCTTCCGATCTCAGAACCCCCAAGAAGGAATACTCGACCCGGAGTTCGCCGCATTCGAAGGCAACCTCGCGGGCCCTGCATTGCCCAACTTGCAACATCCTGCCCATTTTGGAGCACCATCAAATCATGCCGCGGTGCACCACCCAGCCGCACACGGTGCAGGAAACGCCGGTTGGGCAGCGGACTTCCAGAACTTGCAGATATCAGGGCCCTCGCATCCAGTAGCGCAACTACAAAGACCAAATATGGCACCATCCACGGCAAATGGCGGGTGGCACACTGAATTCATGACTCAACAGCGAGGGCCTATGTCCCAGGCTCAGCAAACCCCGCAAATGCATGGTGCCTATCAACCATCTTTTGCACCAGGCTACCAGATGTATGGCTCGTCCATGAATCATATGCAGCTCCCGCAGGTTATGCAGACCGAGCAACAACCCCACGCGCAGCAGTTTGACGAATCCGCCTTTGAGGCTGCCTTTGACCAGGCACGGGCGGATATGGAGTTGCAAGCAGTCGATGTTGCTCAGCAAGATAATCAGACGCACTTGCAGGAGACCAACGAAGTCGAAGTTACCGAACCGGTCGCCCAAGAGCAGATTCGACTCGGATCGGATCTTATCCCTCAAAGTGACAAACAGGATCCACAAACACAGAGTCGAGATGCAGATGATCTTGCGCGGACAGCAGGGCAGCTGCTCGACAGCGTGCGAAACGAACAAAGCCAAAAATTCCAACAAAGTAATTTCCTGGCGTTGATGCGCCGGATTCGAGATCGCGAGGTGGAAGTTGCAGGAGATGATTTCCGCGAAGTCAGTACCAACCCGTAACGGTTTGGATGTCGGACGCGACAGAAACACCGGTATAACTCGGGAAATCTACAAGGGCTGTTGTCCTCGCTAATAACCATCTGCAGACGGCGCAATCTCTTCATCCAGGTGGGCGATACTACCCGGGCCCACCCCATACGAACCCCCCTGGTTACGATATGCCGTCTAGCAGTAATGAGCCAAACAACCCTGTCGGTAGGGTCTGATGCCCTGCGCCTATTAATAGCCAACCAATAACCTGACCAGACGTGACCACTTCCCAGATGGTATAGGCATCAGCAAAGATTCCCGACCGACCGAAGAAGGAACATCCGATCATCTGGGATCCAGTTCGTTTGGTTACGGTGACACAAACGAACTATACGAAGGATTACTCCCTAGTCAGGGGCTTGTGGACCGGCGCAGCGTTCCGACTTGCTTTTTGGGAAGGGAATTGGAGGCGCATTTTCTACACTAGCGAAACCATGGTACTGAATGTAGAGGTACATTCTTCACTACGGCGGTACCTACTATGTTGTAGGTACCTGGTACATAGCTTTTATTCTATTGATACCCCCATGAACAATAGCAATCACGTGATCCCTATTGAGAACAATAGACCGTCCATTGACGGTTCCCAATTAGGCAAGCCAATGATCCCTGACAGCCTCTGATTGGCTGTCTATTGATTTTCTATTGATTGTCCTCATTCCTATTGTTTGCGCCCATTCAAACAGAAATGAACAAACGCTTGAGCTTAAATACCTGGGAAACCCGCTGCACTTCTCTTCTTCACTCTGTTCATATCAGTACCAACGCTCAAAAACTAAACCTTCACAATGTTGCCTCCATCAGACTCTTTGCGGCACCACCTAAATAAGCTCGCTGAAGTCCGGGCTAATCGCAATACTTCTTCTATATCTACCTCTACCCCAACCTCCACCTCCACCCCGGGCACTGCCCCACCTCCATACACTTTATCTGTCACCAGACCGAGTGGCACAACCATCATGAGCGTCGACCAGAACGACGTAGATGACCCTTGGGCTTCTCCAATCAACATTTACATCGACAACTCAATCACCGTTACTGGTGATGAGAACACCATCATGGTGTCGTCTTCTGGGGCTGACTCTCCGACTGATCTAACTCACCAGGATGCCCAGGGATCAGCTCGCCTGAGCTCCATCGCGGCTGTCATTATCGCTGCGCTGAATCGCGCAAGTGCCCTTCACGATGATATGGGCTACCCCCGACCCATCAACATTCGCGCTCTCGCGGGAATTCGGGTGAATGGCCGAAATAACAACATTTGCGTAGGAGGCGAGGCCCAGAAATCTCAGAATGAGACTGCCAATGACAGGGCTGAAGAAAACAATGGACGCAAGCGCCGTGCTAGCTCGGTTCGTACTCTACTTCGTCAAAAGAAAGAGATCTTCAAGAAGTTTAATTGCTGACTGGCTTGGTTAATACAGGAGCCTGTGGGAGCTCCGTCAGCTCAACGATCCCGTTCTTCTTAAAGAGAGGTCATGAGTTATTTTGTGAGCGGCTGGATGTCTCTCTCTTTTTGCTTTAAATCGTCCCAGAATGTGATTGCTTTTTGCTTCAGATTCTCTTAGATTTTAGTCACTTTTGACTTTCAGTTTGCTTAGGGGAGTTTTCCAATCTTCGGTTTGCTTGTTATGGGTTGATACCTGATCCTATTTTTATGGATCCTATGTACATCGGATGATGCTTTCTATTTGTTACGGTTGGTATTTCTTCTTACTTTATGACAATGAAAGCGATGAATGTAACCTCGAACCAGATAGATTCGCCACTTGGGACTAATGCTATAAAATGATTATGTTTATGCACCGAATGAACTGAATCTTGCCTTTCATAGACCATGATCGTGGAGTGAGGGATGAACCCCACCGCGCTAGGCCGTACAACAATCATACGGGCAGATTTTCTGGGTAAATGCTGTCTTGATTGGCTCAATCAACATCAAGTCGATCAGATATTTAGTAGACTAGCGGTGTGGAAACACGTAGGGTATTACTGGAGATATCCCCAGCAAAATCTCCCAATTATGAAAGGAAGTCGAAGCTCAATGTGGAAGATGGACAACATATCCACATCGACGCATGTAATATGGTGGATCATATTGACATATTGACACGATGACAATGGTACTATTTAGCGTCCAGAGTGGAACTGGTCATCCACTTTGCTATGGGGAAACCCCATGAAGTGGCGAGATTGAATTGTCTGGGGATTAAGCTGTAAAGTGAGATTTATTTCTTTGACATATCTTGTGATTTCAACTAAATAAGGCCTTGAATAGCTTGGTGGCCCAATTCAAGCTCGGCTTTAATATGGATTTGCCAAAATATGAGCATTCCCCCGAGACAAAATGTCCGCGTGAGTGAGAATTATTGTCTTATGATTGGATTTGAAGACTAACCTTTACCAGTCAAATATGCAGATATTGTTACTATCGATCTTTCTGAATATGATCGTCCGGGAGGGAAAGAGCGATTGGCACAGAAATTCAAACAGTATGTGCATCAAGTTGGTATTTCTCACACGACCTTCCACCAAACAGAGAGATGTTAACAGAGAAAGGCTTCTTCTATATCACCAACATCGGTCTATCTCAGGAGGATATTGATCTTCAGTTTGCCATCGCAAAGGCATTTTTTGAACTACCCGAAGAAGAACGACTGAGGCACCGTGCTCCCTTAGAAAATGGTAGCTACAATGGCTACCGTCCTTTAGGAGCACTAAGCCTTTTCCCTGGCATGAAAGACACGCTGGAATTCTACAGCATCTTCAAATTTATTCCCCAAAGCGAGCGATCACACCCAGACCTTATCAAGCAATACTCCATGGAAATTGAGAGGTTCTCCCGATTGATGCATGAAAATGTGTCCTTCAAGCTCCTCCGAATATTAGCGGCGATGCTAGAGCTACCGGAAGACCAGTTCGTGGATGGTAACCGCTACGAAGATGAATGCGATAGCTCTATCCGCTATATGCTATACCATGCCCGTTCCCAAGAAGAAAACAAGACATTTGACGATATTTACTTCCGTGGACACACGGACAAGGGAACTATGACGTTCCTATTTCAGCAACCTATAGCAGCACTACAAGTGAAACAGGCCAAAGACGCAGAATGGGAATATTTAAGGATTCCTGCTGGCTCTGTCGCTGTCAACATCGCCAATACGCTTCAGTTCCTCACAAATGGATATCTAAAAAGTGGGGTCCATCGGGTTATAGCGCCACCGAAGGATCAGATGCACCTCGATCGGTTAGGCTTGTTGTATTTTGTGCGGCCGACTGACAAGTTGCGATGGAAGGCCCTGGATAGCCCATTCTTGCAGAGGGAAGGTTATGGCAAAACTACGACCGAAAATGACAAGGATGTTTCTGGGCTGGATTGGTGGAGAGCTGGCGTCAAGGCTCGCAAGGGAGCAAATTATATTAGTTCTGCAGCTAGTACAACCTAAGGGTTTTTGGATAGATATTTTCAAAATAAATATGCCCAGCTACATCAGGCTGTAATGTATGTACCAACGTGAAAGCCGTAGAAAGAACGGGGGGAAATGTATTAGCTTTACACTTGACTATTATTAGCATGCATGGTATGAGTCGAGTGATGTTTGAACTCGTTCTGATACCATAATGAAGGGCCTG